ATTTAAAGTGTACAACTTACTGGTTTTTGGAAAGTCAAAGATATGTGCCATCATCACCATGGTTGATTTTAGAACATTTCCATCCCCTGAAAAAGAAACCTGTACCCTTTACACGTCCCTAACCACCCTGTCCCTAACAACCACTAATCTATTTTCTGTCTATAATTTGCCTGTTCTGGACATTTCATACAATTGGGACCATATCTTTGTAACTGGCTTTTTCCACCTAACATACCTTCAAGGTTCATCCGTGTTGTGGCATGTATCAGTGCTTCATTCTTTTTCGTGGCTGAGTAATACTCTATTGTTTGGATACTAACAGGGGTTTCCGTAAAGGTTTACACAGTATTGAAGCAGCGTGCCGGGCACAGAATAACCATTTGGTTCCTCTTATCTATAATTGTGACTACTAGCCGTGTGGCCATGAACCATGCTAAAGGATCTTTGCCGGCCTCGATTCCCTCCTCTGTGAAATGGGTATGGGAGTGAACCTTGTGTCTCTGAGGGGGCTGTTGAAGTGGGAACAGTGGTGTTCCTGAAGGGCTTCGGCCCTGGAAGTGCTGTTCCCACTGTAGGTGTCCCCCACTGCACTGCCTGCTCTCAAGGGACGTGGGGGCTGGTGTGACAGGGAGACCTGTCTGGCGGCCCCAGTCAGCCGGGCCTGAGGAGAAGAGCAGAGGGAGAGGCGAGGTCCACCCAGGCGAGGAAGGGTGCAAGCGTGGGGCAGGTGCTACCTTCCAGGGCTCGGCTTTCTGGAACTTGTTCTTTGAGGAGAATTCTCCAACATGTGGCAGGGGGTGGGCCGGGCAGGGTGGATGGGGCGGGAGCTCCTCCATGTGACTTGAGGTCTCCAGGCATCAGAAGTGGGTGCTTTTCCTCACTTTAAGGAGAGAAAAGAGCAAGGGGTCCCTTAAAGGGCATTTCCTTCATTTCTCAAACCCTGTGGGCTTGTGTGTGACCTGCCCCCTTGGTTCTGTGTGCCTCTTCCTCAGGCTGTCAGAGGGACCCTCAGGACGGGCTGCCCAGGCCTCCCTGCCCCCTGGAGAGCACGTCCAGGCTGGACTTGGAGGAGCTGCCTCCTTCCAGCTTCTCCCGGGGCGGAGCTCGCTGGTGTACGTTCCCTTTTTTGAGTAGAGAGTATATTCATATGACTCAAAATATCTAAGCCTATAAAAAAGTACTCAGTGGGCCGGCCTGGTGGTGCACTGCTACAGTGCGCCGCTTGGGAGCACAGCGCCGCTCCCGCCGAGGGTTCGGATCCCACATACAGACCAGCGGCTCACTGGCTGAGCGAGGTTCGGACGCAACAGCGAGGGTTGCGATCCCGTTGCCGGTCCCGGTCCGGTACGGGCGTGACACTGAGGGTTGCGATCCGTTGCCGGTCACGAAAAAAGACAAAAAGGAAAAAAAAAAAGTACTCAGTGACAGTCTTCCTTCCACCCTCCCCAGGCCCTCCCCTCCCCGCGCCACAGACCCGCAGCGTTGGTTGACTTTTTATCCTTCTAGAGTTCTGTGCAGATTCAGATACCCCCTGGGGAGGAGGGGAACCTTCCTCCTGGATTGGGAGGCTTTGATGTAAGGGCCTCATTCACTACTTACGGCCACCCTGTGAGGTGCTACGTCTGTGTCCCCATTTTACAGACAAAGAAACTGAGGCTCAGAGGGACTGCAGGACACGCCCAAGGGTGCAGGGAGATAGGCCGAGCTGGAAGAGAGCCTCCCTCCCCGGCGTGCAGGGAGACGCCTTTGCTTGGAATCACTTCTGGCATCGTGGCTGAGGTCGTCCTGTGTGAGTTTAAGTGAGGGGCCTTACTGTCACTGTACGTGCAAGGGATAGGGGCTAAATTCTTTTACTCATTTCCCTCAAGTGCAGATTTCTCTTCAGGGTTTGAAATAACCAGAGGAGATCTTCAGAACCTGGTGGAGGCCCCGAGCCCCGCACTACGTGATTCTCAGTTCTGCACCAGCAGCCGCGCTGCACACCAGATGCAGGAAGCCCTGGCAGACTTCGACATGTGCCGCTTGATTTGCTTCCACCCACTCGTGATGTTGCCTTCCAGTTTGCTCGTTACTGCTCAAGGCGTGTGCGACAGTGCACCGTTTGTCATGCGGGTTGATGGCGATGTGATGGGCATACAGATTTGGGGGGATTGCGTAGTGAGGTCCACATTGGGGCTGCGTTTCTTGGTCCTTACGACTGCATAGGCTGTCCCCACCTCCTTTCTGCTGCACCTCCCGGAGCCTCCCAGGCCCCTTAGATAAAGCCCGACTCCTCACCATGGCTTTGGGGCCACGGTCTGGGCTGGCCTGGCAGCCTCCAGGCTCCACCTGGCTCCCAACCCTGCCCCCCCTCCAGCCACCCTGCCTTGGATGCCTGCCCGCTCCTGCTGTGGGCTTTCTCTCTGGAGCGCTCACTTCCCAACCACGGACCCTTGGGCTTCCTGGCCCCACTCCCCCTAGGTACGGACCCAATCTGATCTGAGGCAGGACAGCGCTGTCGTCTCCACGGCTGCCCAGCTCCACGACAGGGCCATCCCCATACCCAGGGGTCTCCTGCTTGCCCTGGCCCCTACGGCCGCGCTCTACTCAGCAGCTAGAGGGACCCTGGTAACAACAGTGGGACGGAGCATGCTGCTGGCTGACACGCAATGCCCCGCAGCTCTGGCGTGCTCAGGACGGAGGTCCCCTGGGGTCGGCCTCCCTGGTCTCCCTTCTGCCAGCGGATGGCCTTCGCTCACTGTCCCCTCCACCTGGAATTCCCTGCTGGAAGATTGCAGCATAGCTCACTCCTTCCTGTCCTCATATCTCTGCTCAGGGGCCCCTTGCCCTCGATATCCAGAGACACCCCCACTCTGTACCCCCTCACCCCACTAGACTTTCTGTCCCCAATGTACGGTACATTTCTGTGTTGTCTGTTTCCTGACCCTGATCCCCACACTCCACCAGAACCTGAATCTTTGAGGACAGGGACTTTGTGAGCTTCCTGTGGCTGCTGTAACAAATGACCACAAAGTGACCTAAAACAACACAAAGTTTTAACCTTACATTTCTGTCTGAAACGTGCCTCCTGGGGCTGAGCTCAGGGCATCGGCAGCCCGTGCTCCCTCTGGAGGCTGTGGGAAGAGTGTTCACTGGCCGTGGCCGGCCCCATTCGCTGGGGCCCCTCTGCTGCCGGCAGCGTGGCACCTCCCAGTCTTCCTCTCCACTTCCATCGTCACATCTCCTTCTTTGGCTGGGACCCGCCTGCCTCATTCTTGTAAGGACTTAGCAATTACTATAGGCCCATTGGGATAATCCGGGATCATCTCCTCCTCTCAAGATCCTGAACTTAATCTGCAAAATTCTTTCTGCCATGGAAGTTCACATTCACAGATTCTAGGGATCAAGACACGCACACTGTAGCGAGGCCTTTATTCTGCCCACCACAGGGACTTTGGTGCTGCGTCCCCACTGTCTAAAAGTGTCCTCGGCACGTAGTAGGTGCTTAACACATATTTGCTGATTGGATGGGTGAGGGGTGCCCTGCAGCATCCCACACTGACCCCCCGCGGGAGCCATCATGCCTGTTGATAGCCAGGGGCCTTGCCTCCCACCCACCACGCCGTGCACCCCCTGCCCCAGGCCTTCCGGGTGATGCTGAGCAAATTCTGGTTGGCGCACACTGAGGAGCAGGTGGGCCAGGACCACAAGGGCCAGGAGGCACAGGAGGCAGCTTCTCTGCCACGGATGGTAGACGGTCCCCTGAGTCCTCCTGCAGGTTCCCTTGTGATGAGGTGTGGGCTGGATGAGTGGATCTCAAGCCCTGCCTTGCATCAGAATCACCTCCAGAATGTTAGGAAAAGCCAATGCTTCCTCTCTGGAAACCCACGCTCCACCCCGTCCTGTCCCCGGGAATTTTAACAGCCAGTTATGATTCTGGAGAGACTGCTGTATCAGTCTCCCAGGGCTGCTGTAACAAATTACCACAAACGAGGTGGCTTAAGACAACAGAAGGTGTCTCTCTCACAGTTCTAGAGGCCACAGTCCAAAACCAAGGTGTCTGCAGAGCCGTGTTCCGTCTGAAGGTCGCGGGGCAGGTCCTCCCTGCCTCTTCCGGCTCCTGGTGGCCCTGGGCACTCCTCGGCTTGGGCGGCATCACTCCAGTCTCCGCCTCTGTCTTCGCTTGGCCTTGTTATTGGATTTAGGGCCGGTGTGACCTCGTCTTACCTAATTACACCTGCAAACACCCTTTTGCCAAGTAACGTCACATTCTGAGTTTCTGGGTGCAGGTGAATTTTGGAGGGACACTATTCAACCCACTATATCTGGAGACCAAAATCTATTCTAACCTTGAAATTCAAAGTTCTTGTTCTTTTTCCAGCTGGAAACATTTCTATGAGAAACTTGATTTGTTTTGAATGAGCGAACCTCCCCTACTAAAATGAAAATTTGTAGGCAGCCTTTCTTCCTCCCTCATACCACAGCGACACGTTTCTGCCCTCGATCCCAGCCCACCATGCTGCTTTTGGCAGCTCCGGCTTCCTGCCAGCTGCCAGTGTCAGCATCCTTCAAGGAGGGCCCGCAGTTAAGTTCACACCCTGCTGCCATTAGCAGTGTGACCGTGGACAAATCTCTCTCCCTCTCTGAGCCATAGTTTCTACTCCTGTCAGTGTGGACAGTGTCCAGCCCTTGGGTCTCTTTTTTCTCCCTCCATGGTGTTGCATACTGGGTGGGCACACAGTGGGCGCTCAGCTGAGGTAAGGTTCATAGTGTGTGCTCCGCTGACGTAGGGGGCATGGTGGGTGTACACCTGAGGTTGGTGCACAGTGGGTGCACAGCTGAGGAGGAAGCACAGCGGGTGCACAGCTGAAGTGGGGCTCATAGTGGGTGCATAGCAGAAGTGGGTCCACAGTGGGTGTGCAGCAGAGGCAGGTGACTGTCTTATGAAAGGACCTAAGGAAGCTTTCTCATTCCTCTTTTCAGGAATACAACTGACTTCCTCTAACCCTCATGGTCTGCAGAGAGCTGCAGAGAGACAAGGAGGAAGCAGCTGTGCTGGGTGCAGTGAGAAGGCCCTTGGTGGCACCCATGGCCAGCCAGGACACCACACTGGGCACAAGCCACCCATTCTATGATGTGGCCAGACACGGCATCCTGCAGGTGGCAGGTAGGTCCCCAGCTGGGTGGTCCCCAGGACCACAGGTAGTGCCAGCCTTTCTCAGAGCCCTGTGGGATGGGGTGGGCTCATCAGGGGTTGCCTCACTACCACTGGGCTGTGCCCACTGCATGAGAACCGTGATTGGAACAAGAGTATCTGCCGTGTTTTGAGAAAGTAGTGACATACTTGTGAAAGTATGCCTGGTGCTCTGAGAAGTCGTGGGGCAGCGTTCTGCCACTCCTTAAAGAGCAGAGGCTGGAGTTAAGTAGATTGTTCCATTAATTAAGGGCACTGTCATGCGATATCTCATCCAAAGCAATAAAAATCTGCAAAATCTCAGAAAATAAGCAACCCCATGTCCAGCAGTTGGTCAGAGGAGAACATATCGCATTGCTTTAATTTAGACCTGAGGATCAGAGCCCCCAGCATGTGCTTCTCATGTGGGCAGTGACCCTAATACACTCATCTATGCGTGCCTTGCACTGAACTCAGTAACCATTAGCTCTCACCTCTGAGGAGCCTGGAATTTTGTTGAGGTCATGGAAAAAAAGAAGCACCTTTATCAAGCAAATGGAGACCCCAGAAACACGAATAGTAAATATTTTAGTGCACATTGTGTACAGGAGGAACAACAAGAGGACAGGGTATTTGACAGGTACCCAGTCATCTGAAGCCCCAAATGTCCTTTTAGAAAACCTTTAGGGTTTGGGTAGAAGGGATCCTGGACTGAGCATGGGGGACACAGTCCTACAGATCAGGTGCCAACAAAATGCAGTCAGGGAATATAGTTATTTTTCAAAACATATAACAAATGTTATTTATGTTTACATGCAATGGGTTTATTATTATTTTTAAATGAATAAATATTTTTAAATTTTATCTTTAGGTTTCTAATATGGTAAGGATCTATAGATATAACCCACTTTTTTTTTTTAAAAGAGCTCTTTGACATCCTTAATAATAATAATCTTGAGTATTGATGGGTTCTGAGACTTAAAAGTTTGAGAGCCAATAGCCTTGTGCACTTGAAAAGAATGTATGTTCTGCATTGTTGGGTAGAGTGTTCTATGTATTTTGGTTAGTTTAAGTTGATTAATAATTAAGTTATTCAAATCTTCTACATTCTTACTAATATTTTTGCCTACTTCTATTAATTACTGAGTGTTCAAAGCTCCCAAAATTGGACTTTGTAAATTTCTCTCTTTAATTCTGTCCATCTTTGCTCCATGTGTTTTGATGCTTTGTTACTAGGAGCATATATACATAAGAGTGTTATGTCTTCTTGATTTACTGACCTTTTTATCAATATTAAATGGCCTTCATTATGGCTGGTAATGCTCCTTGTCTTAAACTCAGATTTTTCTGATATTAATACAGTCATGTGCTGCGTAACAATGTTTTAGTCAAAAATGGACCACATATTTGACAATGCTGCCATAGGATGATGATGATGATGACGAATTTTGGCAGCTGGCTGGTATGGGGATCCAAGCAAGCCCTTCATAGAATTATAATGGAGCTGAAAAGTCTCGTCACTTCATGATGTCATAACTGTCATACACTGCAGTGAAGCACATTGTGGTTTTATAGTGATGCTGGTGTGGACAAACCTACTGCAAAATATGTTGAGGAGCAATGCCCAGCTTTCCCATAGGGTGACCCTCTAAAAGGCAGCTCAGACTTGTAAGATGGAAAGCCAAGCATCTGACACATTGGTCTGACCCCAGGTGGAAGGGTTGTTGTCTACTTTAGAATTCTTGCATTTTTAAATGATTCCCACCATCCCCATAGCAAAATAATAGTAACAGTTAGCTAACACTCACTGAGTGCTTAGTGCCAGGCTCAATTCCTACCTGTGGTTTAAATTTCATGACTTTGTAGGGTGGAATTATTTGTATCTTCATTTAACAGATGAGGAAAGTGAGGCACAGAGAGACTTAGAAACATACTTAGAGGACCCACGTGCCATGCTCATGCAACTAGTGGCCAATGTGGATATTAGGAAAATTCATTGCTGTTCCCTTTCATAACACACTTTCTCACAATGATGAAATCACCTAATGATACATTTCTCAGAACATATCTGTGGAGTATACATAAAGCAAATGTATTTCACAGGACCTTGTTTTCCAAAGCCTTGCAGTTTCCGGTTGGCCTAGCTTCTTAAAAGTACATATAAAATGTTAACCTTCCAGGCTAGTCTCTGTTGTAACATAAAGAATTGTAACACAGCAAAGTTGCTGGCTCAAAGACAGACAGGTTACTGATTGATATGTAAAGATACTGGGAAATTGCTGTAAGAAGAGAATGCTTGCTAAGATCAAGCATTTGTTGGTGGATCAACTTAACTTCTTGAAAATTGCATTATGGAAGGTAACCACGCTTGTCTTACTGAATGTTACCAGCTTCTATTGTTAAACTGTACTTAGGAAAAAACCCCACCTATGTTCTCTTCCTGTAATTTCCTGGTCTGGAGAATAAATGTGGGAAGAGAACCCCAATTCGTGGTTAATTTCCCAAATGGAAGGAATGCCTCTCTCTTGAGGGTTCCGGGAAATTAACCCCTTTCAGGGCTTCTCACTGCTCAGAAGAGAGGGGCTTTGAGTGATCTTTGGCAGCTCCATCACCCAGGGGGAAAGGGGTGACAAATCCATGGGAGGCAAAGCAACACATATCCCTGTCATTAAGAGACACAACACTATAGAGCCACGACAGTTCCAGCTTTCTATCATTGGCGTTGGTAGAGTATGCCTCTCCTATCCTCTTCCTTTCAACCTGTCTGAGTCTGCACTTAAAGTGCATCTCTTATAAACAGCTTATTGTTGGATCTCTTTAAATCTTTTATTGGAGATGGCCAAGTAGCAGGAACCACATTCTCAAAGCCTTTGGGGGCATGCTGAGGAGTTTGCACTTGGTCATGATGGCACAGGGGCACGTTAAACAGAGGACGGGGTGATTGGATTTGTGATTTAGAGTTACTCTTGCTGCTGGGTGGAGAAGGCTGATGGCAGCCAATGGAGTCAGGGAGGCTGATTAGAGCAAGAACGGTGGTCTGAGTTAGTGCTGGGGCAGTGGGATCGAGAGGAGGGGATGCTTTGGAGAGATCTTTTTTAAAATGCTAAGCTGGAGCCTAACTGAAACCAAAAACCGGGAAGGGTGGTTCCTTGTAGCATGGGATGAGATTTCCAGGGTGCAGAAAGAAAAGTTTAAGAGAAGGGGGGGCCCTGGGAAGTTGCTCGGCCTTCTTATTTAACACGCTGTCCCTCCACCTGCTCTGCTGCTGGGTACCTCGGGCCGGGGTAGGGTTTGTTCCCGGTGGGATGCTGTGGGGTGTCCCAATGTTTGTTGTGGGTTCCTCAGTGCCATGCAGGGGCTGTGGGCTGCCTTGTGGTTGTGCTCCAGTCACCTCCCAGAGACACTGTATGAACTGTCACGGTTGAACACCTGAGCTGTGTCCTTGCCACTGCAGATTTCCTTGGGTGATGATGGCATGAGCGGCAGTCTTTGGATTCCAGATAGCTCTCTCGCTTTGTAGCAGTTTTCACTCATTTAAAAACCAGTTTCCTGTGCAGTTCAACCATCTTAAAGAACATCTGATGGCCTCGGCCATCCTGAATAGATGCCAGACGTCGTTAGGAGCAGCAAGGGGGAAGGCATCTGGAGAAAAGCTGAAAGCAACCAGCTCTACACTTAGGTAAAATAGATTTTATAATCCAAGAACCAAAGCGAGAGAAATCTAAACATTCCAACCTGGATGAATCAATGGCTAAGAATAGGGAAAATTACCGGAGTGAAAATCAGCATCCCTGAAGTCGCCAGTGGCTTTTCCAGCTGGAGCACCCAGCAGGGAGCACGCCCAGGTGGTCCCTCACCAAGGGTCATCCTTGGCAGGAAAGAGGCCTCTCCCCTCTCCTCCCAGGACCTCACCTTGGCGTCCGGCTTTGTTCCCTCGCCCCTAACTCTGGTTTACACTCCTGAGTTTCCAGTGGGCCCAGGGGGACAGTTCAGGAGCAGGAACCCTCCTTCCTCCTGCAGGGAGTGGCATGGACCACTCTCGGGGCCCCTGCACCCACAGGGTCTCCCCCATCCTTCAGGCGTAATCAGACATCGCTCCCCACCAAGGGGTTTCCTCATTTTTTTCTCCACGTACAGCTTCCCCCAGTGACCCATATCCAGAAGCACAGCCAGAAACTGAAGACTCCTGTCATCGTGAATGATTTCCCACTGAAGGGATTAAATATTTAGGCAAATGGAAGCTTTGTAGAATTTTGACTCTTAGGGGAATATTGTAAATAAAGTTGACTTCGGTATTTTAAGACGTGGTCATCGTGGGGCTAAGTGTGTGTTTCAGGGTCCGAAGCTCTGGTCTGGATCTGGGTCTGGCCCCTCGAGCTCAGAGTGGGGTTCAGGTGGTGGACAGCAGTGAGGGGAGGAGACAGAAGGTTCCAGACCTGAGGACCAGAGGAGGTGGAGGCGGAATCTTAGAGAGGTGGAGGGGGGCGAGGGGCCAGGAAGAGAAAACGGAGGACACGCTGGATCTGGTCCTGCTGGACGACAAACATCCCCCACCCTCACGTCCAGACTTTTCTGCACCACCATTCAGACGCCAGCTGGGCTTTCCTGCAGGACCCAGATGTAAAGGAGCCTTCAAATCTCCCTTCTGCAGCGAAGGTTAGCAGCCTTCCAGCACAAACCCAAACAGGAGACTCCCGAGTCCCTCCCGATGGATCTCTGCTGCCTTTGTTACGGGTTTTAATCGTCCTTCTTGGAGAAGATGCTGAGCCTGCTGGCGTGCACGAGGGGCAGCAGCTCCGGGAATCGTTTCCTGATTCATAAACGGGGCTCCTCCCGTCGCCGAAACAGTGAATGATGTTGGGCTGTGAACAGCGAGGGACAAATACGGGTCGTGAATTAAGCTGCTGCCTCGCAGAATTTGCATTTTATTGATAGTTTCCATTTCCTTCCATATTATATCATTTTGAAGCCTGTTTTTGATGCATTGGCCTGTG